GTGTAGAAAGAACAGAGCTAAAAAACGGCAGACCAAGAGAAAAGAATTTTCACTTCTACAGGAAGAACCTGGAAAACATTCAAAGAAGGTCAGCGCTTTCTAGTTAAAAATATTGTGGTTGCTCAGATTTTTGAACGACTAAATTTTTTATTTAAACCCTTTTTAAGTTTTAAAAAATTAGCCCAGCCGGTTGTTATGGAAGGTAGTGAATTTGAAATGCAACCGGTCTTGTGCGATAGAACATATAGAGTGACTTCCACGCGACACTCGTATTCTAATCAACTAAGAAGGGATGTGTTTTTTCTGTTTTTTTCTAAGCTTTTCATTTATGAGAGGAGGAGTTCCTTCTGAATTCGGCAAGTGGGAGAAATTAAGCGTAGGAAGAAAGCGCTGAAGATAACTTACACATCAAAGCACTTGCTGACGAGTCACTAAGAGCTATTCTTCTCTTTCCTACCTCCGGCTCATTACTATTTCCTTCGCCATAATTTTTAATGCTAGCCTACACTCTCTATCTCCCCCCATTTATCAGACCGAATGAACTCTCAAAAATGAAATGAAAATGAAGATATGAGGAAAAAAATAATTTATTGACGTCATTCGTTAAAAACTTAGTGGTCTGATGATTTTGCAAGCTTAGGACAAGTTTTCCTGTCGGTGAAAATTGAATTTGTTGGCTTGATATCAGCTAATCTGCCAAGTTTGAGCATCTGACGGCACATCGAAATTTTCTTATTCTGTTTCCTTCCCCTAAAGAATTCTATATATGGCTGGATAATGTATTTTAAAATATCTACGAATTTATGACATTTACCATAGCTTTAATCAGATTGCATGACGTGATTTGCTCGATTTAAAAAATAGTTGCTGGATGTGAAGCTGTGAGGAGAAGAGGTTTTTTCCTTTTCCACATCTTCCGGAAGAGAGTGATTTAGAATATTCTTGCGGTTAGCTCGTAAAAAGAATGCACAAGTCACTACATCATATGTCTAGGAAACAATAGTAGTGTCAGTTTTATTTTTTAGAAGTTGTGTCATAATGATGTTATTGATGATGATGTGCATGTAAGTGATGAGTGAGTACTATGCCCATAATAGTCTTGGAAACGGGAAGGAAGCAAGGATTCGTCCGGTGCTGTCCAGTCTAGCCATACTTTGTGCCAAAAACTGTTGTTTTTTCCTTTCTTTTTTTTTTGACATTTTTCGTATGATAAAACGTTCAAAGAATGATTTCATTCCGCCTGATTACAAGCTCGTTGTTGTTTTTTCTTTTACAAGTTAATTTAAATCTTCTTATATACATCGTATAAGATTAAATGTAGCAGATAGCTTCTGGAAGTGTTTTTCTTTTGTCACCATTGTCTAATGAACATTTCCCTCAGTTCCCATGCTTTCTACCGGAGAAATGCAATCATACTTTCTCTCTAGCACTCTCCCTTTCGTGTATAGTTTACTAGCCCAAGAAGAGGGAATTTTCCTGAGCATGAAAGAAAAATTTTCCTTCAATTATTTTGAGAACATGTTGTACACCTATCTTCTCCCATTCTGGAGGAAGAAACTTAATAATTTATGGAGAGAAGCAAGAGTCTTCCTGGCTTGTTGACTAATATTTTTTTCTTTTTATGTGTGAAGGTGGACAAAGACATTGAAGCTTATACATTAGTAACGACATGAAGAGCTGCTGTCTGCAAATCTCTTTAAGCTTTCTTCCTCAATTATTCATTTCGATAAAAAAATAATTTAATGAAATCGTTTTTTTCTGCTTTTCCTTTCTTGTTCTTCTCCGTTCGATGTTGTCACGAACTGCCAAAGAAAGTCAGAATAACAGAGAGCGTGAGAGACAAAATGTTAGAAGATGCTGCTCGCTCAACATCATTATCTGATAAAATTTTCCAAAAAAAGATGTTTGTATGAAATTATTTCTCCAAACTTAATTAGCCAAAGAGCTGATTGGATCAATCAAATCACATTCAGCATCATTTGAAAATCTGATATACGTGATTGCTGAGTTTTTCCAAAAGTTGTTCGAAACGTGTCTTGAATAACAAAGCCTTGTGAGTTCAGCAGAAAATAAGACGAAGAGATTTATCGAATAATGCTGAAACAATATTTCCTCATGAGACCATTTTTCATACGTTTCATCTCCTTTAAGTATGCTTTGAGTGTTCACGCGTTCGTTTGTCTTTCCTCAAGCTTCTCGATCAAGTTTTACTCCGTTAATTTCGCAAATTTAATGTCTTCATTCTCTATTCATTTGTTCTCATGATGCCAAAAGCCGAAAAAAATGCTGAAAAAGTTTAATTCCCCTTAATAGCATTGGGAGTAGAAGAGATTGAGCTTTTGAAATTATAAATCAAAATGAAAAAAAAAACTATTTTTCTTCTCAGAATAGATTCGTATAATTGAAGTACTCAGAGAGCAGAACCATTTTTTTCTTTCTCAGAAAGTAAAAATATCGAAGTCCATAACTTCTATGTTTTGAAAGAAAAATCCCTGAGAAGAATGGAAAAGCAACCGGTTCCATGCGTTTCTGAATTTCGAATGAAATGAAGATTTCACTTAAAGTTCTTACTGTCTTTACTAGGAAATGAGAGCTTCGAGACCAGGAAAGATATCATTTTTCGTCTTCTTCATATGGTCAACAGTCTTTTCCTGTTGCAAATGCTTAATATTCTTTTGAACGTTCCTTTCCTACTAACACTTGATTACTCTCTCATAAACACAGATTAAAAAAATAATAATCAGCTTATGAAATCTTTTTGACAGCTTCTGCAGAGACCATTCTAAGTTTGCTTGTTTTTCAGTGTTTTTTTTTAATTTTGTGAAGTATATGTGATTTAATTTCGTTTTCCGATCACTTGGCATCTGTCAATTCGGCTAGTTAGAGCAGTCCGGCTTGAAAGAAGGTTGTATTAAGCGGGCGGGCTCTCTATCTTTGGGAATCAGATGTCCATTGGTCCTTCAGAAGGAAACCTTAAGGATCATTTTTCATTTTATTCTCTCTTTTAACTTATATTTCTCACCAAATCTTTTTTTTCCTTCAAATTATTGTCTTGACTATTTGAATTGCTGAAAAAAACTTCGGGAACATTACATATTCTGCCGTTGTTTTTCAGAACTTCAAGTTACGTTAGTATAACTTGGAGGTCTTATTTACATTCCTTCATATTAATTTTTCTCCTTTTCGCTTTGATTGTGTTCTGTTGAATGTGAGCTTTGACTTCGTAAACGTTTTGCATCTCCTCTGTTTTGGCATTCCCGTCGTAGTTAGCGTCAAGATAAAGCTTATCATACTGTTTGAAAGGCGGAAGAAGTAAGCAACTCGTCTGCTTTTCTTTCTCTATTTCGCAGATGAAGAAGCTTTTTATTGAAGAAGAGAGAGTATGACCGATAAAAGGAAAATAACTCCCCAGAGGTTATGGTTTCTCTTCTTGAATCGAAAAGCTCAAACGAAGCGAAGGAATGAGAAGCGAATATATAACTGAATGCGGAAAAAATCCTGAGAGCGATGGAGATATAGAAGAAAGGAGGGAGAGAGAAGGATATAGAGCTTTTCTTAGCTGAACTTTCCATCACATGCACGCGCACCCTTTATCCATGCTGCATCTAACCCTTCTTCTGCTGAGATTTGTGAACAACAAGATAAAAAAAGATGATCACCATTCACTTATAAAAGTGTATAGCTGCAGGCGGAAAAATACGAAAGACTCTTTCATTTCTGTAATTTTTCGTATAAAATATTCAATTTTGAGGAAGTGTGAAAATAAAAGTTGTCCATATTTCATTAGGTTCACCATGATTTTCTTTTTTTTTCTTTACGACTTGCCTTCTATTCTTCTATAGTATTGTCTTTGAAATAATAATGATGCGGCTATCATTGCAGGGTATGAAGTCTCAGACACATCAAATGATTCTACTACTGTTCCTTGCTGTTGGTAGGTTTATGCTCAATTACATTTCATGCTTTAATCTCTCAATATATCTCATTTTATTGTTTCGAGTTTATTTATATTGTGATCAAGTTTTAAAAATCAGCAAAAGAATAAAAGAAAAAAGAGAAAACGCAACGATTGCGTCACTCCAACTTCCTCTACAGGAAGTTAGAGAATCCACGAAATCTTTCGAATTCAATCTTTTCTCCATTTGTCACTTCTACTAAGCTAAGAAAAGGAAAATGTAACAGAAGTTTCGTTTTTTCTACTCTTCGTCTCCAGAAAAATGAAATCAGAAATTTTGATTGAGATGTACGATGAGTGACTTCCATAAAGTTTTTTTTTCTCGACGAAGCAAATTGAATTTTTGTTTGCAGGCATGGTCATATGCGGTGAATCGTCGTCAACTGCCGAAGATAGTATCAAGTGAGTCGTACATTTCCTGAAATATAAACATGAATGAAAAAGCCTTTCATCGCTTTGAAAAAGGAACAATCGCCTTGATTGGAAGTTAAAATTATTCATATTTGAGTGCAATTGTACTTAAGACATTCATGATTTTACTTCAACCCACATTCTACTTACAATCGAGTTTAGAGCTTTCCTTTCAACCTAGTAAATCAACTTTGAAATTGACTCTTAAATTGCTTCTCCTTTAACGAGTTTCATAAATTTCTAAAAGTTTCTCTACTAATCTAATTTTGTAATCTTCACTTGAGCTCATTTCACTTCTTTCTTCTCAATTTTAATTTTTCAGCTTTGATAAACGTGGAGGAGCCAGACCTTTCTATGGCTTCTATGATTCTCCAGGGAACAAGCGCATCAGTGGTCAGTAATTTTTACCATACTATAAATTTTTGATCAAAAATGTTGTTTATTTCAGCACTAGGAGTTTCTCCTTATTATTTATATGACAAGAGAGGTGGTGGACGCGATTTTGCTCTTCTCTGGAATCGTTCCGGATATGGATCTCGGTAATATATTCAATGGAAATTTTGTTTATCTATACGAACTCAATTACAGAGTCGAAAGACGAGGAGGAGGAAGAGCATTTGCTGGCTCATGGAAACCAGACTATATAAGCAGGTAACGTGATTATTACATTCTCGAATATGCAAATAATGATTCCAGGTACTATGAAATGCCCTACTATAACAAACGGTCATCCAATCTTTGGGAATTCCTACAGACTCCAAACGAATTTTAAAAATTCATCCGACCCCTTAAGCTTCAAATTTCTTGTAAATTCAAATGTTTTAAGATAAAATCACCTTTCGACTAGAACTTAAAGTATTTCATATTTGCCTTTTCCTTTCAAATGATTATTTGAAAAGTTTGTTTTCGTACAAAAGAAATAAACCTTCTTATCGAACCAGGAAGAACATTGGCATTTCCATTCGTACAATCTCCTCGTGATCCACATTTTTCTCATTTAATTAATATTATTTAAATGCTCTGATTTTTTGTTTAATTCCGAAACTAATACAGCTAAGTGGAGTTTATATGTAAGAAAATACAAACATATGATTATGACAATGTCATTTGCAGCTGACAATAAGGAACTTTCACAACTAGTAAATTAGCATATGCATATCACGTATGCAAATTACTGACGTGTATGACATTTGAGATGAAAAAAAAATTTATTTTAATTAAATGTTGACTGCAGACGGTTGCTGTGTGACATGCATGCTATTTGCATTTTCTTATCATTTATCTGGATAAGTGAAGAGATTATTGCAAATGATTCTGCTTCATGAACTTCGTCGCACAACGAATAAATAAAAAGAAAAATTAAAGTTTCTGTCCAAGAATTAAAAATAGAATTTCAAAGATTTTTGCTCATTATCCGTCATTTTTCTATTGAATAATGATGAAAAAAAGTTTTTATTATTTTTATATTTCATCAGATGTGAATGGAAGAAAAGAAAATATTCTTTTCATGTATTCATCCATTACACACATAGCCTCCCTCCACCCTCCTCCTTTAATCCTTGTATTCACAAGCTTTTTGAAAATACTATTAGCTTTACTTAAACTTTCATTTTTGAACTTCTTACACACATATATTAGCATTTCGTATTTTTGAATGATAGTCAGATGCACGGAAGAGTCTATCCGTATAGGTCATGTTTTCCTTGTGAAATGCTGTTGAGAAAATTTGCTGTAAATATGAATTCCATTAAAGCTTTCTCCTTTTGACAACATTCAGTTCATCACACTCTCATTTCAGCTTTTATGGTCATTCATTCTACAGAATGACTTCTCTTCTCTCTGCTTCATCGTTCCAGCTTCTGATATTTCTTTCCATTCCCTTCAGTCATTTTCACCCTTTCTCTTTCTCTCTCCAAAAACTTTCGTGAGGATGGTTCATCAAAAACCAACACATACACATGCACACAGACAGATGATCGGCTTTTTTTTTCTGCGAAAGTTCACCTTTTCATCTTTATTTTTGCGTTGTCTACCAAAGTTTGCAAGATGGACTACCACATAATTTATTTTTCAAAGATTAAACAATTATTTCTTTATCATCAACTCCATAATTTCTGTTCAGAAAAAAAAGGTGATTTGCCTCATTACTCCCTGTTTGGATCCAACATGAGTTCTAAGGAACAGTTTGGAACTAATCTTTGATTCATAGAATACTTCCTTTCTGGAAATCTAACGTAATCGAACAACAATGAATACCTTCATTACTTTTCTTCTTTGCTCATCCGATCAAACTTGATAATTGATTTATGTTTTGTGAAACAAGACACGAACGTCAAAGTGTTTAGTGGGTGTGAGGAGGAATTGAAACAATTTTCATTTTCTCCTTATATGGTATTTATAGAAAATATGTTTTTATAGTTGAAAACAGAACGTTGAAAGACCTTTTTGATCGTAATCATTCATTTTAGAGAACACAGAAGCAAAGAAAAAACTATTTTGAGCTATCATTACTCTCAGAGTAGGAAAGAAGAAAAATAAAATAGAAAACAGTCATGTTTGTAATTGATAGACGAAGATAGACTGATGACAACATAGATATAGTGTTCGATGAACGAGCAAGCTCACTTTTTTTGATTCTCCCAATTCTTTATTGAATTCATCTTGTTTTATGCTTGTGTCAATCTAACTATGATCACCTCTTGTTCTATTTAGAGAGAAAGGCTAATAGTCAGCTTAAACTGCCGGCCGAACGATTTGCTTTAAATGGATTTTGGTCACTAACTCGAGTTTAAAATCATCATTTACTTTAAAAATGTTAGCGTTTATGAGAGACTGAAACGGCTGTGAGAGATGGAATGGACAGTGGAGTCCTAATAGGATGAAGAATTAAACAGAAGGAAATTTAGAGAGAAAGTGAGTTGGACAGAAAAAAGAAGAAAGAAAGAGGATAGTAGAAGAGAGCACAGTGGAGAACAACCGTTTTCAATGTTCAAAGTCATCAAAATGACGACAACTTTTCAAATTTATTTTAATTCCACGTTTACGTGAAGTGGTTTATGAGAGCCGGAAACTCGCTTTGTTAACGAGCCATGTTAGCTGGATGAGTTTGAGGAACTTTTTCTTTCCAAGTCCTCCCGGTACCTGATTTGAATAGTTGTGAACCAAGTTAAACGATAAGTGGGAGGTATTTGAATAGGAAAGTAGCCAGTTGCATAAATGAATAAGGTAATTAGGACTCTTTACACCCTCACCGGAGATTTTAGAAAAAGGTCCGTAGGTGTAGAATCACTGAAGCAAAGTTCATCAAGATGTTGCTTTTCTTGGAATCCTCCAAATCTTGATGCTGACTTTAATATTTTCTTATTATTCTCTTCGCATTCAATACTGATGCACTTTTAAGAATTTTAATAAATTTTTCATTTGTATTCTTATTACTATGTAAGTCGTTCTAATCTTTACGAAATTGCTTTTCCTTTTTGATTTTTTCCATAATAGGGCAAATGTATACCTCATGCAGAAGGACTCGGAAGTTTACTTCAATCTGCGTCCCTTTTATTTTTTTTCTTGTAAGTAGTCGTATTTGTATGTTTCAACAAATATATAAATTCATTTTTCCGAGGCTACAGTAAACCGCGGATTTACAGAGAGTTCCAGATGATTGAGAAAGGCATTTTCCTCATTCCCTGTCTTTCTCTTCTCTCTTTTTCTCTGCCTCCTCTCTGTCACTGTCTTCAATTTTTTGTTCTCTCTTTCATTGCTTACCCTGTGTAACACATAAATGCATAGTATATAGTTACTGAAAAGTGAATATGATGGTTATATGATGTTTTTGTAAACAAAAAGGGAAATATTTTCTTGTTATCAGATGTCCGGAACCACGGTTTAAGAGGAGTGCCATTTATGAAGATGGTAGAGAGATGCAGGAAAGTGAAGACATTCATTCCCATAACAGAAGCCATGTAATGAATTCGATTCTCTTACGGCCAACATGATGTTCTTTTAATTTACATATTTACTGATGTAGCAAAGTTTCAGACAAGTTTGGTTTTTGCTTTAAAGGAAGCTTTCCGATTTCTCACGATGTCATAAGGGATAATCATCCTTACGTTTTTATTTTCTTCTTTATCAAAATGACGTAGTGAGATTTCGGTTGATGCAAAGATAAGCTTTGTCTTTCTGACCGATTTATCATTTTTAAAAGTTCTTCGAGAAGTTTAAATATGGAAACTTCTCATCCCATAGTCTGCGGTCATTTATTTGCTCTATTTGTTGTCGTTTTTCAAACGTTTAGTCAGAAACATGAGCCCCTCCAGATGCTTAAAACCGAAAAATGCTCGTGAATCCTAAAAATGTTTCGAACAGAATCATTTGCCCGCACTATAAGTCTTCAGAAAGCCATTTTTTATGTTTTTAGCTATAATATAGTGGAGACCTCGCTTTCCTTTCTTTCCACCCTGTTGTGTATTTTCTGAAAATGTCTTTGGAAGTTTGAAATGGGATTCTTTCAGATTGAAAAAGGTTGGTGAAAGTAATGGAGAGAAGAAAAATAACTAACTGATTTGTGAATTTGGTTGAAAAGAACAGCCTGAGAGATAGGATGAAAGATGTGAGGACAACTAGAAATAGTATGCCTTAGAAGGAGAATTAGAAAAGTTATGACGATTTCAAAGCTGTCTTAAAAGCTTCGAAGACGGAAATTTGTTGTGCAGGAGAATCTTATGATCATTGAAGACTCAAGTAGATAATCTCAATCTCTTCGACTTTCATTGGAAAGCCGACTTACTGAAGTAGATCAAATACTTTTCTAATGCTTCACTCTAGCGTTTCCTTCCTACACACAGTCAATACCTCAAATGACGCGATGAAACATTCTATCACAATTATAGTTAAGAGAAAAACACGCAAATTTTTCTACATGCTAAACGATTTACCTTCACTCATCCCACAAACTTGTTCTCTTTCAGTTTCGTACCAAATGAGATTTGACTGAAAGTTTTGAAAGCTCATCTAATAATCATAAGGTATGAAAAACCTAAAAAGGAATTCAACCATATGTTGATCTTACGTATTCATTGACACTGAACTATTTCGAAATAGCTTGAAATAAATTGACTTCCAAGTTTTTAGTAGAGTTCATTTCCTTTCTCATCACATCCTTCCCACCTTCTCAATCTCCGGAATTCATCAGATGATGAGATTGACAATAGCATCTTGAGTTTAAGAAAATGCTTTAATATTAGCTCATTCCCACCCTCTGTTGGAATGTTCGTCAGTTCGCCTTTTTTACTTCTCAAGTTAAGACGCCTCAGGGCATTTGAAATAAGTTTTACATCTTAACGAATGGAGGAGGCAGTGCCGTTTTGAATTTTTCAAACTTTAATCAGAAGTCTCGACAAGGAAAATACTTTTGAAGTTCCTCATAATGTCTCCTTCGTCTTTCCAATCAAGAAATGATGAATTAGATGAATTTTCGTTATAGTACAAACCGCCTGCGTTCATTTATTTGCCTGTTGTTCCATCCGCTTCCTTGATGACAAAATATAAAAAACTGAGACGAAAAAAGAAAATGAGTGCCTGAGGTCATTAATGAAAGTTCTTAAAATGTGTGTCAACATTCACAGAAATTTTATATCACAACAATGGCTATTCTCAGCTACTCACACCAAAAGCAGTGAAATGCCATTGTACGGAAAATTAAAGAATTGAGGAATTAATCTGTTAATATCACCAATCGTCATCAGAAAAGGATTTAATTTTGACGAAGAATTTTCATTATTTTAATCTCGTTGTTACGAACAAAAACTGCATGTGAAGTTGGAATTGAAAGAAAAATAAAGCAAAAGTTGATTTGTTCAGTCACGAAATCATCAAAGAGAGTTGCTCTCCATGTCCCGTCTCTTTTCTGATTCGTCTGTAACATGCGTTGGGAATTATGCTCTGCTTCAATACAAAACGAACGAAAGAAACTGTTAGCAAGCTTATTTACATAATTCTCCACGTATGCAAAAAAACTTTTTTTTTTTCATTTTTTCACGCTAATTCCGTTTATTTTCACGTTTTAACTTGTTGATTGTAGACAGTTTAACAGCTCAAATGCTTTAAAACAAAACAAAGTTAATTAGCTGACACTCAGAGCATTTGCATTCGAATTGTTTTTCATATTTATGAAATCATTAAAGCGTTCATCGTCCATATATCGCTTTGAACTCTTTTCTTCTTCTTCTTCTCCTTCTTTATCTAGCCCTTCCTTCTCTCTCTCTCTCTCTTCTTTATACTCGTTAAGATCCATTTTATCTTGAATTTTCCTTCACACATTTCATACTCATCTTTGCTAGTTATTAACAAGGCCATTGCTGTTGCTAATTATTCAAAAGCTATAAGACATGCCTCATAAATGTACCTCATAATGCTTTAAACCCAAGAAAAACGCGGATTGTTTTTAAATGCTAAACAGCTAGTAGTATTTATGTATTTATATTGATGATAATGAAGGAGTAAGACAAGTGAAACAAGCATCATCATGAGGTCGTAGACGTTGGAAGTAAAGCGAAAAAAAAACAAAAAACGACAATAAGATCTAAAAGGATAATTTATCCTCATCTTTTCCACAATAATTTTTTTATAAAATTTTAATTTTTCTATGCTATTTTCTTCTTCTTTTTATTTGTCTCTAAACAGCTTCTTAAGCTTTTAAATGCTGACATTTATGCATTGAAATCTCCAAGATAGGCAAAAAAAGGTTTCTGTCATTGTGTCCTTTGCTTCACCGATAGCCGTCTCTATTCTCTTGATGATGACGAAAGTTTCGAAAAAAAGAGGGAGAAAAATCGTTTTTTAGCTTCACAAAATTCCCATCTTTATCCTCCAGAATATCAGTTTTCTATTTCCATAACGAAACGTTTACTTTACTATTTCTTTCTTAGTTTATTCGAGTTTTTTTTTAGTTACGCAACACAAACAAATATTTGGAATATAAGTGTGAGTTTTGGAATATTTCGAGAAAAGCCTATTGGGTCCATAGAGTGGCCATTTTATAATAAATTAGAAAATATGAAATATAATTTCCGCATTCTTATTATTATCACAATCTTTGTCAAGTATATAAAGACGTGAAAGGAATAGTTTATCTAGCATCTTTCATTTCACTCTCTTCTCTCTCTTGAACATTCATCTTCTCAAACATACTCTTTAAGCTCACTTGTATAATGCTTGATGAGATTTATAATCTGCTTCTTCTTGACTTTTACATATAAATTTGGAAACATATAAGATTATTGATCATTATGCCTATAATTCTATTTTAATGACTCATATGTCGTCATGATGCTTGGAAACATCAAAAAATGATTGTTTCGTGAAGAAACTAATATCCTCTTAGATGATATGCGACTTTTTTGAATATTTTAAAGCGTGTATGAAATCATTTCCACACACACAACACCGAATCTCTGATCTTTAATGTTGAAATAAAGAAGAAACAAATTTTATTTTCTTTCATATATTGAATTCAATCCTTGGAATGAAAGCAAAGACTAAGTTCTTGAAATTACAATACCATTGTTAGTTTTCTTTTTTTTTACCAAATCAAATGTATCTAAACTTGGCCATTTGGCCAGCTTTGTGTTGTTTTTACTTTTCAAATATTGGCTTCTACCAATTAGCTTATTAGCATATCCACGTGGAGACCGTGAACTTGGAACATTTCATTTTTAGTTCTTGCTTGGCGACATACGGTTGTTTTCTAGTATAAAATCATTCAACTTTCTATAAAAAGGTGAACATTCAAGTTCAAAAACAAGTTTATTCCTTATAAGGTAATTTTTGTTTCCCATGTCATCGCGTAATCAGCATATTTCTTGCAAATTCACACATGAATGGCAATATCCTTCTCTCAAGTCCGTAATTATTAATCTTGTCGGTCAAAAATAGGATGAACTTTTGGGAAGAAACAAAAAATTTATTAGGTGAAGGAAAGTAGGTGGAGATTGAAGAGGCGGATCCAGAAAAATGACGGCCGTTTTATGCCCACTCCTATATGGGGAAAGCCTTTCCACATGCTATCTATTCTTCCATTTTCATATGTAAGTTTCAATTGTATTTCATTACATCATATCAGCAATAAGAAAATATTTTCCTGAAAATCAGAAGAATAACTTCCATTTATAATTTACTATATTATACTATTACACTCTAATGTATTCACATACGAGACCGCTGTACTATGAATCTCCTTAAACTTTCAAACAATGGCTCCACATCAAACAGAGTTGGAGCAAAAAAAGAGAAAGTTCTGCGTCAAGTGCATGAGAAACATATTGAGAATGAAAATATTATTTTTTAATATGAGAATCTTATTGAAATAAAACGGCTGAACGTATCTTCCTTATCTACTCATAAACTTAGCTATTAATGCCCTCAAGCATTCTGCTACTTCTCATATTCCATCTAACATCATTCATATAAACATCAAAATTCCATTCTCAACTTTTATCACTTTGCTCCACTCACCCCTCTCGTATTTCATTGCATTCGTCACGGAAAGATTAGGATTCTTGAATTCATCCGAAACAGATTAAAAACGGATGGCCAACTGGTGACCAACTCTCTTAACGGATTCCTTCATTTTCTGTTCATCGTTCTGTCTCTCCAAGTTTAGCTTCATCTTTTAGCTGTTCAACATTTGTTTGATGAATTTCTGCCAGTCATCCTCCCCCTCTCTCTCATCTTATTCCTTTTAGAGCTATTTAGATGCTTTCGTTTACTCAAATAAATTCCATTTAGATGGTAGGAACCTAACCAATGCAACGAATATTATGAAACAACACGATAAATTTGCATATAGAAACGATAGTTTGTGTATTCCCTCGTATGTTTGTTTCTTTCCATATCTTTCTCCTCTCTCAAGACATTATCCTTTTATCATTCAGCACATTAGTTGACACAAAACATCAACTCCTTGATGACGTCTTTTTCATCGTTTGGAAGCATATTAAGAATGACATGGTTATCGTCGGAAGCTACACCTTCGTCGTTCCGAGGTTCTTCCGGATGTCTTCAGTTTCCTGTAGATATCAACTCATTAGATTGACGCAACATATCTCCAAACATTCTTTATTTGTTTATATCGATGGATAAATCCAAACATTCCTTATTTGTAAAAATATTTATATACTTCCCTCTTCCTCTTTCATCAATCTTAATAAGCATTTCATTTCAATAATCATCATTATGTTGATTCATTAAGATCAAAAAAGATATGAAATGAGTTATTACGACTTAATAAAAGCGACTCTCGAGCATAACTTCTATATTTGGCTGTTTCAAAGCATCTTTATGTATTCTCATAATTCATTTCCGACTTCAAAATTCCTAAGAGAAAAAAACTTGATGAACATCTAGCCTTCTCTCAGTTTCGGTCAGCGTTAAGCTATATATGAAATACGTACTAAAATTGTTTTTTTTACATCGATTGATATTTAATAATCATTACCTGTTGTTTCCAAATGAAATCGTTTTCTGTATCGCGGTCGCTCTCTCTCCTTTGTCCTTTCCGCATGTCCCAATTGTTCTGAAACTTAAAACTTTAATGAATTCATCTTTTTATCTTTCCTTGTTCTTAGATGTATTTGTATATCTTTTCTTATTCATTACATTTTGACTTGAAAAAATATGTTTAAGGTAACAATGCAAGCTGCCATTTGTCTTCTGGCCTTCTGTGCTGCCGTAGCTGCTGAAACTTGTAAGCAAACTGTCCTAAACTTGTAAAATCTTAGTTCAAACCATGAATATCATCCAAGCTCTAAAAAGTTTCATAGATTAAATAACTTTCATGTTTATGCTATATCACTAAGAAATAGATTAACTTCTAGATTCTGCTGATAAGAGAGACTTCAGCCGTGACATAATGAGCTTTGGTAAACGGTCGTCTGATAGCTTCGACCGTAATATCATGTCATTTGGAAAGAGATCTGAGGTAAATATTATTGTAGTTTGATGGATAAACACCATCTATCTTTTGAAATATTTGAAATCTTATAACTTTCAGTTTGAACGCAACTTGATGCCTTTTGGAAAGCGATCCGCTGGTTTCGACCGTGACATCATGAGCTTCGGAAAAAGATCTGTAAGTTTTCCATGTTCCTTCATCCTTTATTTCTGAGAAAAGACATTCTGATTATACGGATTGAAAAGCATTCATTGTTTTCCAGCAAACATTCATGAGAAAAAAAAACAATGAAATATTCAAATACACTTATGTTTAGTTCGATCGTGACATCATGGCCTTTGGAAAGCGTAGTTTAGCCGCTCCTGGTCTCGTTACTGATTCTACTCTCTACAATACACCAATGGGCAAGAGAGAAGATTTCGAACGGAATATTATGTTTTTCGGACGACGAAAGTAAACTCACAAAATTCAATGACACCCTCATAATCGTAGCTTCATGAGGCTCGATGTCATCATCACCCACTCCAACAAACTCTTTTTTCATAAAATCTTTTATCATCTGAAATATCTGTCCTCATAAACATAGGCAGTTATTCTTTTTATTTCTTCAATATCTTTCTCATTTCCCATTTTCTCTATCAAGTTCATTCGCAAAACCAGCATTTCCTTGCCAAAAAAAAGTAAAATCCTTAATTTGAATCTCTTTGACAACTCCACTTAATAATTGTCTTATTGTAATTGTTATAAATGAAGTTATCGGCACCGTTAAAGTAATGAAACAAATATCTTTTTTTTTTGGAATTGAAATCATTAAACTAATTGGAATTCAACTACACACAGACAGACACATACTTTCACGCACACATGCACACATACTTACACACACACACACACACACACACATATACACATACAACTACATATACATACTCATAGACATACACTCTCAAGTACTTACCCTCATGTTTTTTTCTTCTTTTTGTTCAGTAAATTTTATTGAGAAACTGGTGACAAAACTAATTACCATATTTGTAAAAAACATTTTTATTTGTTTGCATCCAAGAAATATTTCCAAAGAAGTTTTTATGGATACTATGTTGTGCAAAAAATCAAAACTCCATTAAACTCGTGTAGCTCAATAAAATTTTTGACTCAAAAACTTCTTGGTATTCTGAATTCCAGGAATTCTTGCGATGCCGAAATAATTTATATCAAATAAATTTTATTTTATTGTGTAGGCCGCTCAACGTTCATCATGAAAACCAGAATGAACACTTTGAACTCGTATGAGCTGGACGTAAAAATGCTCCATGTGGTTTACACGTAGCGTCATGTAGAATCTGATAGCTCACGTGGAAGGTCACGTACACAACTCAAATCATTTATTGAAATATAAAGGTTGTGAGCGGTTGCTTCCGGAATATAATCATGGACAGTTCCAGTCAAGCCATAGTAAGAGAAAGGTGACGATATAATATCTTATGAAACTATGGATTTAAGAAAAAATTAACAGCAAGAATAGAAGCCATCGAACGTATGCTCAAAGTCTCAAATAGTTCAGAAACGAATGAAACAGCCTTGAATACGGTAATTAGTTAGTGAAAAAGAATTACATTTACAATTTAAACACAATTCCATTATTTTATGTTTTTCAGATAAATATGGAATTAAAGAGAAATTTAGTTAACGACGAAATAAGCATACGTGGATCTAGTGTAATTATTTTATTTTTTTCCTTGTACTTTAGTTTTTTTATTTATTCAGATATCAAAGAACACTGAAATTGAATTAAACTGTACAGAGGAGTATAAACTATTGACAGAGGTCAAATGAGCATTTTTGCAAAAAAATCTCTTGTTTTTAGCTTGAGGCAAGTTCAACACTTCTACAAAAGTCATTGAGAACAATATTGTTGCTCGGAGGGAACAACCAGGCATTCAGAAAAGAAACTGAATATCTATCAAGCTTATCACATGAGTTTATTGAGAATGTTGTTGATATAGTTTTGTCTGAATCTTCTCTTCTGTTCACATCTGTCCTATTCAGTTCCAAATAGCCGATTCATGCTCCAACTTCTCTTTACTGCCCAATAGAATTCGTACATCGTATGTGTCACTCTTTAAGACTAATGTGTATAATTCATTGTTTTTTTTCAGCGATGATTCAGTGGCTCAAACAAGTTAGTCTATGAATATTGCTTTGAACCTTTTTAATTTTTTTTCGAATTTTGTTTAGATGATGTAGACGTCCCAACAGCTATCGAAATGGGTAACATCTTTCCTCATTCTCAATACATCATTGATTCATGTCCTATTTTCAGATGACTGAGATGACAACATCAGCATGAACAGAAGTCACTTGCAGATTATTTTGAATCCATCATCAGTCGAATATATGAAAATTTAACAGATTTTCACCAATTTTAGTAATGTTTCTCATATATCATCTAATTAAATTTTGTTTTATTTATTTTTTATTTGATATTCACATCATAAAATCAACTCAGTCGAAAGCATATGCATTCGATCGTACGTTACACAAATCCATGTGCCATGGGTCTCATCAAAACGGTAGGTTGTGATTTTAAATTTTTGAGTAGATGATTTTTGTTCAGACCAGCTATTTTGTGTGCAAAATAGTTTTCCTCTTATGCTTCATAGATAAAGTTTTTGGTGAATATCCATATAATGCTAACTTTGGTATTGTTTATAACACACCCTCTTCATTCCCAGATCATTCTTTACAGAAGATCAGATGAGAGAGAAATGCATGACCCGTACAAGGCTTTCCTTTTTCTACCGAGATATGGTTTATAAACAATATTCTAATGCGACAAAGTAGAAACTTTATTAAGATGAGGTGCACATCTAGGAGAGCATCTCCGGGTATGGGTTGTCATCAAGAGGATACCACTATTGGGTATACCGAAGAATTAGATGAGAGGTTTAGCGGAGAGGAAAAAAGATTGACTTACATGTCAGGAGCAGCTAAAGAGTCAGAAATGTTCAACGCTCTTATCTTTACATGTGTTCTAAGTAAACTCTTTGTATGTAAATATGTTCATGATGTAGTTTAGCTGCTGGAGGATGCGAAAGAAATTTGAACTTCACTCAGGTTTCTTACAAATGTTATACTTTGGATAGAACTCGTATGGTTCAAACCTTTGAGAATCATCTTTGAACATAATTTTAGCTCGCACCTATGCAGATGCCTGGAATTCTTGTGTCAGTAAGAATACGTCTATCGTTGTTTTATCTCAAGATAAGGATGCTTCAGATGTTTTAAGTACTCGAGCATACTGAGAAAATTGTTAATAATTTGTTTTGAGAGTATATCAGTAGTACAAATCCAGACATCTCAGCCGTTTGGACTGGGCTACATAACAATGGGGCCGGTGCTGGTTGGGAATTCCCACCTGGTTTTGGAAACGCTGACTACGCTCGTTGGATGCCCGGTTCAAGTGAGAAATAATGAATGTTATTGAGTACAGTTTGGCTTTTAAGCCTTCTATGATTTTCCGTTAGGTACGATTGTACATACTCGTTCATATGATCCCCGGTTCGGATCATATGCTGGATACATGTCCGCAAGGAACCAATATGAAAAGTTTCTTTATCAAAATGCGAAGTTGAGTGATTTTGTTGTTTAAGGTTCCCCACACTCTGTGTGAAGGGTATTGGAACTAACTTCGCCAATGATGCTATTGTAACATATCCTTTTGTGTAGGGATCCACTTTCATAGCTCTCGCATTTTTTATCTATAGGCCTGTACTTACTACAACTAGATCCACAACTCGAAGAGCAACCACTAGACCTGTAACTACCACAACAAAAGCACCTGTGATAACGACGACCAAGAAACCTGTGATAACGACGACCAAGAAACCTGTGATAACGACGACCAAGAAACCTGCAACAACTACTACGAGGGCGCCAGTGACCACCACCAATCCACCTGCAACAACTACCACCAGTCAAACAGTTAGTGTTATCAGCACTAATTAAAGGTTTCAAATATATTTCAGTTAACTTTGGAAGAATTGGTGAGCCAAAATATACTAGGCAGGCCTGGTTTCACCAACCTCCTTTACAGGTGAATTCCAAAAAAATAATGCGAACGTACTATTTTTCCAGATCGTACAACCCATCTCTAATTTTCCACCAGTACCAGAGAGACTTCAATCTTCATTGCAGCAACTCTAACACCAAAGAACGTTTGTTACATCCTCATAATAAATTTTTCAACTCTTATGATCATAGGCTTTGTCGGATTCGTAGTGACGCCACTTATGCCAGGCGTTCTAGCTCGATGTCCGAACCTGATCCCAATGAATATGTATCAAAGTAAACAATAGTTTTTAATTACATGATTCTGATTTTGAACGGTTTATAGACCGAGGGGCTCAAGCTTGGACTCTCTTTAACGGTACAAGCACAAACTCTAATTTGGATTTTGTTGCTACTATCTATTGTGCAAGAAGGTAACAGACGATCAGTATCCTTGAGCTTCTGTATAATTCCAGCAAAGGCTACTGTGGCGCAAACTTTGAGATGGTTGAATACTTAAGTACAGTTGGAGGTGATTTTTTTGTCATGTTCGATTCTTCTAACAGCTATTATCCGAATAGCTGGTGACAAGTTCATCCCTTCGTTCACGGCTGAGGTTCAAGGAACTTCTAATAACAACTTCTATCAAAACCAGCCCAATAGACGACTGTGTTGGATTTGGAGAGATGCACCAAGTAACATAAGTGTGAGTTATTATTCTTGGTATAATTCATGATTCTCTGTAGCCTCAATTTAATACAGCTAGGAACCGAGTTTTAAATGCCGGAAATCCAATTATGAGAACTTACATTAATACAAATGCTGGGGCACAGAATAGTTACAGGCTAGTTGAAATGGTTCTGCGTAGTATATAACAAACCGTTTAAGTGTGAACCGAGCTGATCACAATAATCTAGTAGGACAAGGAAGAGAAGCAAAGCGTAATATATCACATTCTTACACTCAATAATTCCTTCTTGAACTTTCAGCCGATATAGGATTTATTGTCACTAACCAAATGTGGCAAGATACTTTCAGACAGTCCTGTCCTGAACTTATTCCTGTGGGAGTTCACAGAAGATGTTTTGAAGAGTTATTTATAGATATAATGTTATATTTTCAGCTGGCAGTGTGACGACTTATTTTGGGAACAACCCACCTTATACTGCTGACAGAATTGTATTACTAAATCATTATACTTGTACAAAGCTAAATGTATTAAGGGAGGATTCTATTGTGCTCCACGTAGAGGATATTGCGGAGCGGATTACTTGCTGAGACAACGACCAACAATGACACTCGGACGTAAAAATAATTAATTTTCAGATATTTTCATTGAACTTTCAGTGGATAATTATGTGGTGGATAATTATGAAGACTACGAAAACGTAAAGTGCACTGCAAAAGCCCGTTATTCAGACAAGGATGAAGCCGTTTGCTGGATTTGGAAAGATCCTTCCACATACAAAATTTAAATTTGAGATCCAATTTTTTGTTTTAAAATAAGAAAACGTATTTGTTCTTTTCGCTATTGTTTGAAAATTTAGTGAGAACATCGCAAAAAAAAATTTTTTTCTGTTCTGACCTCGGTCCATGTCTTGTTTGCAATCATGGGAATCATGAGAAGTTATCATTGTTTAGTGTTTGCTTGTCTGAGACTTTTTTTTTCCAAAAAAAAAGAAAAAAGAAAAAGATCGATGGTATTTCATCCAAAAATCTAAAACTCGTTTTCCTATATCCAAGCTTGTCAAAAGTCAGATGTGGCTGCGAAGCATGGCAGGAAACAAGGTCTAAAGAGGACTGGGAAACTGATCCCTGGAGATGTGATGACTGGAAGGCAGTGTCGATTATGAGCAGAAGCCAACGGAATGAATGCAGTGGAATACTCAGTGAAAAACGGAAGAATCAAGAGTTCACCTTTGCTCTTTCTGATTTTCATACTTATTCCCTCATCAATCCTAACTGCCCTCCATGCTGTAGAATGAAATCATAGTGCGTTGCTTTTTCGATTCATTCTGTATGTCACTTTGTGCGTTCATGAAAGATAATAGTAATGTGAGTTAGATAAGATGTTATATGATGTGTGATGAGGAAATGGAAACGAAAAGAAGCTGAAACCATGTTTATTTTCTTTTTTTTTCTCCACATAGGCAGCTATTCTTCATATTTTCGTCATCTCAGTTGAGGAAGCAGAAGAACAAAACTAAAAGAAAGCAAGTGATGTTCAAAGAAAGCGACAAGATCCTTTCACATCTTATGTTTATTTCATTAATAACAGTTATATCCTTTTCTACTAACCTTTTCCAAATGTTTTGTCATCAACTTCATCTATGCATATTCATCTTCTCTTCTCACTCATTTTCAAACGATTTTCTTCTTTCCTGTTCCTCTTTATCACACCAAAAATATTTGTTTTCTTTTCAACATATTCTGCTGTCTTTCAAGCCATTTGGAGTTTTTGCATTTGGTACGGAAACAAAGACATAATAAAAGACAATTTGTTGAAATCTTTTATGAATTTTGTTATGAAAATCATAGGTCATTTCAAGAAAATCTATGTCACAAGCTAATTAACATTTGAATTTTCGAAGACAAATGAAGCCATCCGACGATTCGGTCGAGATGACACACATACACATACACATACACATACACACAGCCCATTTTAAAAACCTTCTCTTCTTTTTTTTTATGATAAACATTTTTGAGGAATATTTTTTTGCAGTTCTAATTGGATATCTCCGCTCTTTGTTTGAGAAAAGATATATTTCAAAACAATCTCCTAAGACACGAAGAGGCTTAGAAAGATTCTTATGTCGTCGCATTAAATTTCCTCTTTCCGAAAACTATTTGTTAGCTTTGATGACTAATGATCTGTGAATGAGTTACATCAAAACTCCATTACAAACTATTTTCTGAGTTAATAAGCTGATTCTCTTAGTAAAATTTCACTTTTTTTTTCTCTGTAAATGTTGATGGTTTGCTTAGTCCCAGAAGAGGGTTTTATGAGAAAAAAAAACTTTGGAGATAGAGAGACTCTGAGAGAGAGACGAGGGACAAAGAAAGAAGTTGCAACCGCTCTGCACATACTTTACTCAGAAGTGAAGATTGTTGTTAACGGAAAAACGCGAGAAGTTCTCACGTGAAAATTGCACGTGGATACGTGACGTAGATCATTCACGTATAGCTGAAGTTCTAGTTTGAGAGTCAAAGATTCATTGAAGAAGTCTCGTTTGAATTAGTTGTTTCTCTCATATTTCTTTCATTACAACGTCTTCTTA